TTTTTTTTTAATATATTTAAAATAATTTGTGGTTCGTGTTTTGAATTTCATTCTCTTGTTGAGAAATTGGTTTTATGTTTTGCAGAAAATGCTTTTTTTTAAGTCTGTGTAATATGATCTCATCCACAACATTTTATTTCCTGTAGAACTTGAAATTTGCATTTCATTCACAGCTTTAAATAGTAATCTCTCTCTTGAAAACTTTGTATGCTTTAGCTTTCGGGCCATGCTTGTTTGGTAGCAATCAATGCTTGTTCGTTACCAAAAATGCGAGAACTATTCATTTTAAATATGACAGTGGAAGATGAGTGCATATTTGAGATAGTGGAAGAACAAGCATCCTGTCATGATATTGCAATTGAGAGTGTAAAAGAAATAAGGGTTGGAAATATTTCCTGTTATTAGTTTTTTTAGTTAAATGATGTTCTTGAACTTCCAAATTGCTTGAAAATTTCAGGAACTCGCTTATTTAACTTGTAAAATGCTGTTCGAAAATTTAGCTGGTAAGATAGTTGAAGACATATTGGATGGACAAGAATTGAGCTCTTTGGATATTAATGAGTTAGAATCCGTTCGAGCTACTCTTATACAAGCATATAATCTTGCTTTTGAGGTTAGTACATACTTTTTATTATAAGCATAAAAGCCGTAAGAATTCATTTTAATTTTCATTATATAATCTTTTTTAGATTTATCCAGTTATTTGGAGCTATAAAGCAATTTTTGCAGTATCATCGAGAATTTTACCGAATATTGCCAAAACATAGCTGTCGTTCTTTTGCATTGCAAACAATTCGTTGGGCTAAACAGTGGTTACATTTTGCATTAGAATTCATAAGTCAAGGTGATGGGACAGTACCCTTATGGGCAATACAATCATTTCAGTTTTTAATATTGGCTGCGTGTCCAGAACTTTCCTCATTATTAACTCATAGTGAATTCCAGGTCAGTTTCCACAGTTGATCTATGTTCAGTTCATAAGTACAAAAGCTGTGAGTTGCAGAGTGTTAAATTGTGGTGGAATAAAAATGATGCATTATACTGAATCTTAAAATACATTTTTATATCAGAAAGTAAATACTTGATCTTTGCTAGTGTAGTAATAATTAGACGTTGGTTCTTTAATTTTTAGGATTTCGTGAAAACCGTGGATGCCTATATTGCACATGTTGTCGGCACTAATATACCAGGTTCATTTCAAGTTATATTCATACTGACATGGAATATGAGCAAAATTTTGTCTCCTATTTTTTATAGATCCTGGATTGATAAATGAAGCTTTTATCGGTCATGAGCCAAGTAAAGCAGCTAATTTCGGGAATTCTGTTGAATCCAAACCATACTGCATGGAAGATGCAATGGCTCGTACTCTACGGATTCAAGAGTTATTGCATAACATTGATGAAAAACGCAACAAACATTTGGAAGTAGCTTTTTACTCATCTCAACGACTTTTGTCTATTTATCTTGTTCTTAATTTGTTACATTAAGTTTTCAAGGCAGACAGTAAGATTGGTCGAGTGAAGGAGGGTGGTAGAAGAGCCTTGTCACTGTCGACATATTTTAATCCAAAGAAGCGAGCACCATTCGAATGGCAGCGATTAGAAAAAAAAATTGGTAAAATTGACAACTAATTACTTTCGATTTTCAAACTGAAGGTTTTGACTTAGCCTTGAAAAAAAGGTTTAGAATGTTTTTGTGTGTTTTTTATCTGGATGGTGTCTTTAAAATATAGTGGTCAATTTGAGGAATGTGATTACTGTTTTTTTAATGATCTTAAATTTTGGTACACGTTTTTAAGGATCTGGAAAATTTGGCACAGTTTATGTTGTAATGAATCTTACTGAAAACTGTCTGATGGCAATGAAACAAATTCGTATTGAACGAAATGATAAAGCACTGTTGGCTTTGGTTGACGAAGTAGAGAATCTGAGTTTATTAGACCATCCGAATTTGGTAAAATATTATGCGGTGGAAGTTCATCGAGTACGTTTTGTTGATTTTTTTTCTGGAATTAATTTGATCGATATATTTATTATGAATTATTCGATTCAGGAAGAATTACTGATCTTCATGGAGTATTGTTCAGAAGGGACTCTAGAAGGAGTATGTCGCGAAGGCTTGCTGGATATGCAGTGTGTTCGACGATATACACATTTCTTGTTAAAAGGAGTGGAATATATTCATAAGAAAATGATCATACATCGAGATATAAAACGTATTTCATTTTGGATTGTGTTATAACTAATTTTTTTTTACATTTGGTGACTTCTTTCATTTTTATTAAATTGGTGCATTTGTATCTTAAATTTTTATCTTCATTTTTAGCAGCAAATATATTTCTTGGCACAAAAGACGTTTTGAAACTTGGTGATTTCGGGAGCTCAGTGCGATTGAAAAATGGCTCAACTGCTTGTGGAGAAGTAGCTGAATGGGTTGGTACTCCAGCTTACATGGCTCCAGAAGTTCAAACACTTGGTGGACGAATAGAAATTAGTGGCAAGGAAGAACTAGCAGGATATGGAAGAGCAGCTGATATTTGGAGTGTTGGATGTGTTGTACTGGAAATGTGTACTGGCAAGGTATTTCATCTTGATCATTCAACATTGGTTGTTTTTCTTCGAAAATCCTGAGCATATAACTTCTGATTGTTAATAGTTTGTGTAGTGAAAATTAATATATTCATGAATACATTTCATTGTAAAGCTTCAGCATTTGTGTGTTCTGACTTTTAAATTCTTATATCTTATCAGATCATTTGTATAATTTTCTACTGAGATCGATAATTTTTAATCTTGGTCAATTTCTTAATATTTACACACTTGATTAAGCAAAGTATGAATTAGTAGACAATTAGTCAATTTTGACCTTGAAAGGAAATTTGAATGTGGCAAAATATGTTAATCTTTAGCCTCCATGGCATGAATGTGAACAAGTCTTGCAAATCGTTTTTCGTGTTGGTAGTGGTATGAGGCCTACAATACCACAGTCTTTGCAAGCTGATGCCACGTGTTATTCCTTCTTGGAACAATGTTTTCAGGCTGAACCAAACAAACGTGCCACTGCGGGACAGCTTGATCAACATCCATTTGCTAACATAAATGTGAGTTTGAATGTGTAGGAATATTTGTTAGTAGTTTAAATGATTACAAGTGTTTTGTATCGTCATTTTTCTATTTTGTTATTTCAGGCTGGTGAAAGCTGTGATTCAAGGAGTTATTTCTATCTCTGACGGTGGAACAGACTACATAAAGATTTTGGTTTCCACTAAAGGAAAAAACTCTTTAAACACCTCATTGATAAAATACTGAAAGTTTTGTTTTCCACATCTAGGTTGATAAAATACTGAAAGTTTTGTTTTCCACATCCAGGTTGCTTTATAGTGATTTTCGTAGCTTCAAAATGTTTAAAAGCTGCAAAATGCATGTAAAAAGTGAGATGTCTGATGTTAGGTAATGAGCTATTAAAATGTTATCGGGTTGTCATATAAGTAATAAAATATTTGTGTTTTTGACTTCTTTTTGTTGCACTCAACAATTTATTATGAGTGAACTCCAGTTAGGAAACATAAGATATTGATAAAGATGATTTCTGTTCATCTATTACCCAGTCTTGATCAGCTTCGCATGAAGTTCAATTTACTTGAAACTTTTTTTTCACATTTGTTTTTGTTCTTCATCAAGGAGTAGCGCTATTTTTATTACTTCATTCGTTACTAGCTATCGAACTTTTAAGTTTTGACGATCGCTAGAATACTAGATTGTTTGTTTTCTTATTTTGCAACTGTATAAGAGTTTGAATATTTATCACAACTTTACTCTCTTGAATTACGTCGATATAGTGATTGGCATGGAATCCTGAATGTTACGCTAGGAACTTTAAATGATTGCATTAAAAAGTGAGAATTTGATTAAAAGCATTATTAATAATTTTAAGCTAGTTTTGAGTTTGTCACTTTGACTAGGAGTACTTTTTTAATTGAAGGCAACTCTGAATTGTGGATAATCTGTTTGTGTAATGTTTTTTTTTGAATTTTATACATATATAGTTATTATTGATGTCCCAGTGTGGTTATATTCCACTATTATTATTCGTTTTTCTTTTGTTTTTTAACTTATTTGCTGTAAAAATTTACATCATTGCTTCGGATGTCTCATGTATAATTGTTCAGAATCTTTTTCCGGGATGAATCGATGTGTCTCACTTTGCTCTACATCAAAAACTATATGGAATCGGATGTTTCGGATTTATGACTCAAAGCGCTGCTATTCTCCAATGTACACAGAAACCACATTGCCGAAACTATTAAAGTCAGTGGATGGTGATGTTGAGAAAAGGAAAGATCCAACAATGCTTCAGGTTTGATCACGGTTTTAAAATTCTAAATTTTTATTTCGTTTCACAAAATGGATTAATGTTTGGTTAGAATCAAAGGCTTCAAGAGTGCTCGTAACTATATGGACAAACTGTCTTTTGATTTTTTTTACAAGTTGTTGAATTCATTAGTAAGTTTTGTTTTATTTCAAAATTCCGTACAGTAATATCATAAAAGATTACTGCGCAAAAATAAAAACGATTTACTTAGCAATTTACAAGAATTAAATAGTACTGTACAGGAAGTTGATATCAAAGATTTACCAAGAGCACAGAGACGACATGTGGAAGAATTTTTTAAGATGAGTGAGACAAGAGCGATCGCAATGAAAAAATTAAATTATAAGGTAATTTATTGTATTTTGCATTATATAATTCATTTTTGCGGAATGAATGAGGTTAGCAGTTTTTTTTATTTTGTTTTAACTGGATATTTTACTCTTGCTCTAATCACTAAACTTAGTATTTAGTGGAAACTTTCTAAAAAATTGTTACCTTTCACTTTGCTTTATTTTTTTAGTAAACGACTGACACTTCTCTGTGTGTTAGATAGAAATTCGAGATAAAATATAGTGATTTTTTTGCATATATGAATTTATTTTTTGCTTTTTTTTTCAGAATTTGGCTGCTTTTATTATATTGCTAAGCTTCGCAGTAGGAATATATATGTATACATATAGTGGACTAAAACAAGAAACTTTCTTGGAAGAAATCGATGAAGAATTAGCAGCGGAATTGGCTGAAAAATCTGGGAATAAGCAGTTGTAGTTGTTTATGATTATTAAATACATAGCAGTTCTAAATTGAAAAGAATCGTGATGTATTAAGGATAAACTTTACTTTTATGAATGTCAGAGAAGAACCATAAATTTTTACATTTATCAACTATTTGGAAACTTACTGTACTATGTATATTTTTGTCGTATCAATCAACTTCGTTTGTCTATTTTCCCCAAATTATTTTTCTAGCCAGTCGATGGCTAGTTCGTTTTAAAATGCAAAATTCTTCACAGCTCACTCTGCTGAATTATACCGAATATTTATTATATAAGGTTTTAAGGTTTAATGTTATTACTGGTCAAGATTTCAAATTTGGAAAGTCTGAAATTCATGGGTGGAATTAAACGAAGTGATATGTTTGTTGTCAAACTGATAGATCTACTTTTCTGTTGCCTACAATTTTTGTGATTAAACTGCAAAGTTGTCATTTTTAATTAAAAAAATTGTAAATGGTATGTCATTAAGAATTGCTTTTTGCAAATGTCAACTTTTATAATTTTTGGAACAAGGAATCTGTACTTGAGTAACTGTGGATTCCTTTCTCAGAAGACAAAATAGACACCTAAGTGTAAGGAATGTCACTACTACCATTCCTCGACTGACTTATAATTATTGAACATCTGTGGAAAATTTGGTAACAAGCTTTCTTTTTAGGCTTTAATCTACTTGAATTCTTTGCTAATATTTTTCACCGAACCGCTTAAATTTTTCTGTGTGGTGAGCGTAATTTTGCGATTACTGGAAAATTTTTTGTTGAATAAAATCTTCGAATTATTATACCAAGAAAAAGTTGCTGATGTTTAGGACTGTGATTTCATTATATTGTCATTTTGTGCAACGAGTTAGATCAAAACTGAGGTGCGAAGAATCTTATTCACTTTTTGTGTTTCAGATCTGTTTATCAATTGTGAAGAAGTTAAGGGAGATCATTGTCAAGTTTAATTAGTTAAAAATAGATCATAATTGATTTCGGTCGACTGAAAAATAGATCGTAATTGATTTTGAGTAAACTTCTGTGCATCTTTCAAATATGGGCAATTAATTGCTGACTAATTAAGCTTCAAATAAGGGTATAATAAAGTTTTCGCAAATAATTAATACCATGCACTACTATACAAATATGCCAAGATTACATACACTTTTCACACAAATCTTTAATGAATCCAAATCTGACTAACTTTTCAAGCTTTTCATAAATTAGTTATCAATATATCGTTATTAAATTAGCCTTTCCAGAGAATAAGACATGTATTACATGTAGCATTAGACTAATGTAGTCAAGAGAAAAGTTACATTCCAATTTTTGTCATTAATTAATTTTAGCCTAAAAAGCTAATCCGCAAAAAACGACTATAATAAAAATGAATCTGACGAAAAATCTTTAAAAATTATAAATGCTTTGAAAAATATCATTATAGAAATGCATAATCATACTGGTTATAAATTTTTATAATGTACTGTCTACTCTCAGAAATAGTGTTTCAAGATTTGACGATGTAAAATAAATTTGAAGAAAGAAACTGTCACTTTTTCAAAGATATTTGATAATGACTGTGAAGTTTTGAATACTTTTCGTCAAAATAATTTTTGAATTTCGAATTCATAAAAATTATAATAATTAAGATAAAACTATCAAAAACAAATTAATGGTTATTAATGCACTTAAAGAAATAATACTGAATTCTCATACATCTGACACAACACGTCCGATTAAAAAATAAACAAGTTTCGGTGGTTACTTTGACTTACAACGATGGGATAGATTCTTTGAGGATGAATCAACTTGTTTTTCAATTGTTGAGAAAAAATTTTGCAAAAATTCTAATAACTAATAATTGCACACTAAATGCTGAAATTGTTTATAGGGCAATTTTCTTCACTTCAAAAATCTATTAATGACCGCGAAT